GAGCCAGCTGCTAAAGAGCTGCAGCTGACAGCCCGCAGAAGCCGCCGCCCACTGCCACGTCCCGCGGCGATGGATCGGGCTTCATTTCGATGGAATTTGATCTTTTTTAGGCTCCTTTGTTTGCGTGGTGTGAGAAAGATGATCAGAGTGACATATAGTGTGAGGCCGTTCAGTAATGACGCTGAAACGATCTTTGATTGTTATCTCTGATGTTTGCTTTTGCTAAATAGTAACAACATCGTGACTTTTTTCTCTACTCTGTTGAAGTTTCTTGGAAATTTCGACTGCCAGCCCTGTCAAAAGTGGTGACATTTTATCTGTTCGAAAGTTTCCACTGCCCTGACTCGAGCTGCTGCATCCATTCAGTGTCGACGATCCCGCACTGTCGCCTTGGCCGCTATGGCGAGACCCTCTGACGAGAGACGCCCAGTTCTCAGCGGCTGGAAGTTGACAGAATCCTCCGGTCAGTGATGTGGTCGGCGACACATTTCGAGAGAAACACTTGCTTGGAATAGTCTGCTTCCAAGTCTTGTAGGGATGGAAAATAGTCGCGCATCAGTTCAATCAACGACTCGCATACAGTTTGCCAGAGCTGTTAAATTGCAATTAGCATACGTTTTAGAAAACAATGCATCAGAGAGAGCCGCCGCGCTGTGGAGCTGCTGAAGTCCAGGAACGTGTGAAAAATGCAGGAAGGGACGACCGCATGGAAGCGGGAACCCATAAACGTTCCGTGTGGTGACGACCTACTCACCAGCACAACTTCAGCGTGCCGTGCAGCTCAGAGCTCGGCTCATCTTTCCGCTGTAACATATCGAAATTGACAGCCGAGGCGAGAATCTGACCAGAGTGGTCTCGCTCGTTTCTGCAGTTCCTGGTTCAGGGTGGCCCTTGGTCACTGGTCAGTGGCGGTGTTTGACGTCAAACTGGAATGAAATGCAGGCTATGGTAGTGACGAAAAGTTAGACTTGACCGCGCTTGAACCATTATAAACTCTTTTCACATTTGTTTTTCAAAAATGAATGTGTTTTTGAATTTTTACGCTTATGAAGGTTCAAAGTTCACACTTCACAGTGCCTTACCTTTACTATATACGAATTGGGGGCTCAGTTTACCCGCAGGCGAAAAGTATACCTAACCTGCCTCTACAGCTGAAAGGATGTCTACCATCGGGATACGGCTCAGTCAGAAATTCAACAGAGACCACAGACCGTTACCGGTTATTGCTCACCTCACGAGCTGCAATCTGCCGTGGAGCGGACCTGCTCCGCTGTCTGGTGTGTTTATTGGCGTTAATAACGTGACGTTTACCGCCGGATATTGTGGACGATGGCGGCCGAGACTGGGCCTGGGTGCCGACCTGAATAATTTAGCGGCGGCTTCCGCCGCGGTCGGCGCCGCCTGTCGCCGGGCTCGCATCAACCCAGATCAATAGGGCGGCCACCGATGGCGATAAACATACCACCGCCGGTATCGCTGCCATTGAAAAACGGAAACGCTCGCCTTTCATCCAGTTCTGCCTCCGGCGTTCGGTCTTTAGAACGTTTCTGCTCACGATCGGCTGTTTTTGCTCGAGACCCGCTTTGGAAGAGAAATGCTGCTCGGGACGGCTGCGATTGCTCCTCGTTGGATGACTCAGTGGCGGCGGAAGCAGGGGGGCAAGGGGGGCAGCTGCACCCTAAAGCTATGGAAAGGGGCGCCTCGAAAATCTGTAGAGGAGGCAGGAAGTTATAAGAGGTGCGGCGGCCATAAAGCTGAGCAGTGCGACACCGCAACTGATAAAGGCACTTGTGACACGAAGAGGGTGGCAATGACTTGGGAAAAGTATCTTTTGATATGCTGAAGAGTGGAGGGCATCCTTATCTGAAACAAAGGCAGATGCTGCCGACCCTGTCGAATATAATCTTGCCAGGCGATAAAGGCTAGGAGGGCGCAGCCACTCGAGAAGCGCGCCATGCGGAAGAGGGGCGCCTGCATGCGAAAGAGGGGCGCCTGTGTGTGGGACGAAAAAGAAACATGTATGGAGACGTCTTTGAAGGCGATAGCCTCCGAACGCCAACACGAACATATGAGGGCTTATAGCGTTGCAGGCTCCATGCGACAAAAAGGGGCGCCTGATGGCCGATATGCGAGAGGAAATTAGTTTGTGTAACATTTATCGGGGGCGGTTTGCCGTTTACAAAATATGAATGTTAAGGGAGGTCCGAGATTGGGACCTGTAAAATTGCACTGTCCGTATGGGCGGTTACACCCCTAGTGCTAGGGCGTATTTTGCGTTTTTTACTGGGGAGATGATTATGACCAGGAATAGCATTCTGCAAACTTCTATGGGCGCCTGTATAGGGGCGAAACTGATTTTCCAGTGCAGAGACGGCCATCGGCATTGTGGGGCGGCATTCATTCCACTGGGGCGTCTGCCAGTGTTGAAGGGCGGTATTCATTTCAATGGGGCGCCCGTTGGTGTTGATTGGCGACATGTATCACCTGGGGCGCCTATCGGAGATTGGGGCGGCATTAATTTCACTGAACCGTGGAACTCTTTTCGATATGCCTTATTCGGAGAATCTTATGATATGGTGATGAGGTTGTTTCTAAACGAACATTATGAAGGTTACATTTACGCTATGGAATGTACCTAACTATTTCTCGTTACATAAAAACTGTAATTCTGAACGTATTAACAGGTACAACACATTGTCAAACGTCTCTCCACTGTTTGTGTTACTACAACCGTGTATATGGTAAGGGGCGCCCAGCGGGAAGGGGCGCTTCAATATCGTTTGCACCCCTATCCTAGAATACCTTCCGCCGCCACTGTTGGATGTTGATTGAAAATTAGCGTGGTGGATTGCAGTTTTTGCATCGTTAAACACAGCAAGAAGTGCACAGTTCGGAAACATCATTGAGCTATGTGTGCCGACTCAGAACTCAGAGTAAAAAAAGAAAAATGTTTTCTGGGTTTGCCTGATAAATAAATTAACCCTAGAACGCCTAGGGGGGGGGGGTTGTATCAACCCCCCCCCCCTGAGGTTTTTTTTCAAAGTGCACGCTAAACGGCTTGTCGTAGCGGGCTGAAATTTTCAATACCCTCTGGGGCAACCTTTGCGCATCTTTTGCCGAAAAAAAATTGATCGGGTCATGTCAGGTCACGGAGTTATGACGTCATAAGAGGTACAGCCTCCGGCCGGATTTTCACAAACTGAGTGCCAACGCCCGAGGTTTCCTGCCGGTGGTACGGACATCGGTTGATGGATCATGATGAAACTTCCCATGCATGTTGGGGCAAGTATTGGCTATCATATGGTATAAGAAATTTGACCGGGTCAGGTCAGGTCACGGAGCTATGACGTCACAAGTGGAACAGCGTCCGGTACTATTTTTGAAAAGCGCCCGAACCACTATTTTGCTAATTCTTGTCACCTCAATGGGAATATGCAGCAATATTAGCTTCTATAGGGAGCAAATGGACCTCCCAAATCCAAAAATACAATCAGATTTCAAAAATTTAAATTTTGATTTTTCGAATTTCTGCCGCCGACTGTGACCTTGCCGACTTCCGGCGCTCCCAACGCGCCATTTTTAGAGCTAGGGAAACGAAATACATACCAAACGATAGAGAATTGATCAAGGAACACGATAGTGAAGGTTTCAAGTCGATATCTCCCACCGTTTTGCCGCAATCGCCGGCAAAAGTTGAAAAAAGTCTATTTTTCCGAAAATTTGACCTTTGACCGGTCAAAAGTAGGTCAAATGTTGACCTAGGACCAAAAAATATACCACCAATCGCGAGATCTCGTTGAGAGCAATCCGTTGGTTTTTTCCGCTAAGCTCTACGACCTTCCGTTTCGAAACGCCAGGGGGGGGTCGTAACAACCCCCCCCCCCTGGTCGTTCGTGTTATGAGAAATGGCCTGGTCGTGCGAGGGTTAATTGCAGTGGAATTCTTAGATATTCCACTAGATATTTAGACATTCCACTTTTAGATATTCTACTCCGTGTAGGCATGCCATTTCAACTTTGGCATTGATTTCCATTCCGAAACTAAGTAGTTCAACGTTTATTGTGTTGGTAGCTGCTGGCTTGCAATCGATCAATGACAGTGTTACCCTAGTTGATAGGCGCTTGCATTTATTCGGCAACCATGGAGATAATCCTGCTGCTTTTTTCAACACTCTCCAGTAATCGCTAAAAGCTAACGCTTTCTATGCGGCGGTGTTCTGCGGTACAGTCTACCTTCAGGCGCCGACTACTACTGCCATCTAGGAGCAGATGTAGGAAGCTGGATTCACTCGACTCGGCGCCGTGCGCTCCAGCTCTGCGCGGCGGGACCTGACTGATGACTCATTAACCACCTGTCACGATTCCACGCGCAATAAACGGCAGCTAATGACAGACCAAGTCACCTGCGCATAGCTTTGATTTCTAGAATTCTTATGCCAGTATATTAGCTACCTACATACAGGACATGTTGGAACCCGGGGGGCATACAAAGACCCAAAGCCACTTGGAACACCTAAGCAGACACCCATCCCTGTGGCCTGTACCGTACTGTATGCCTCCGGCCCGGGCAGGCTCGCTCGCTTCCTGCGCTCGCTGACGGGATACCGTCCCACTGAGGGCTGCGATCGCCGCCTGAGCGATGGCCGCCTCCCCGGAGTAGGAAATAAACGGTCGGCGTAGCGCGTACTGGGTGATGGATGGCGCCGCATTATGGGGCGGCGAGACGCCCGCGCGGGAGAGATAGGTCACCCGCGCTGGCGCCGAGCTGATCGGGCCTCAGCGGGTGGACGGAGAAAATGTCAGAGTTCTCAAACGTAATGTCAGTGGGAAAAGTGTCCCCGTCAATTTAATTACTACATTTTGGTGCTTTGTGATGCATTTTACAGCAAAACCCGTTTACGTCGTTGTTAGCATACTATGTTCTGCACTATATCCCAGCTGTTACACCCCCCCCCCCCGGTTCGCGTGTTATGACCAACGCCTGTCGCCCTGTGCCCGCAGGCTATGGTCACGTGACTCCGCTGTCGGAGGGCGGGAAGATCTTCTGCGTGGTGTTTGCGCTGATCGGCATTCCACTGACGCTGGTCATCCTGTCGGCCTTCGTGGAGAAGCTGATGGTGCCCTCCACCATGTTCCTGCAGGTAGGTGTGACACGGGTGCGGTCACTTCTGCTGCTGCACTGGCTGCGGAGGGATGTGGAATAAAGGGGGGCAGGAGGAGCACAATAAGAGTTCAGTACCGTTGTCACAATGGTGCAGTTGACAGCTTCACATGTCCTATGCATAACACTTAAAGTTTTAATTTATCATATAAAGCGAATCCGCCACTCATTGAAGTTGAGAGTTGATTGTCAGGTACTATAGAGGTAATGATTGCGTCCTGTCAAACTTGGGACAATGATCAGTCTCATGGTGATTGGCATTCCTGATTTTAACGATTAAAGCCTAAAGTACTCGTATGTCACTGACTGATGGTTGACTGACTGACTGACTGACTGACTGACTGACTGACTGACTGACTGACTGACTGATTGGATATATGTGAAGAGCGATTAAAGCAATCAATACAAGTGACATTTATATTATTTTGTTTTGAGCAGTCGTCCCTCGTTTAGATTAAGCCCATTTGAATGTCACCCATGGGTCGCTTTTGAAGCTGTATCTCGTAGTTAACGGCTATGACACAATTTGCATGCAGTCAGATACCAGCTCGTTTCATGAGTTGGTGGCGGCGTCAGACTAGCTGACCTCTATCTTCCAAGGCAATTCGCCTAATGAATACAGAGCGGGACATCCCACGTCTTGGTGCAAATATACATAGTGAGGCATAATATCCTGGTTGTCCTCCAACGCGTTAATATGGACACTACTTATGAGCATCGAAATGCGAATAATAACATTAAGTATTCACCATTTATCTGTTTGTGGTTTTGAAACTGCTATATTTTTTATAGTGCTGACTCTAAAACGTCTGTCGTTCTATTTTGATGAAAAAATAAATAAATAAAGTAGCTCGTCGTCGTTCTGTATACATAACTGCGGTACCCTCTTCTGATTGTGGGCTCTGGCCAGCTCAGGACGAGCCTTTCCCTTCCCATCGAGAGGGCTCTTATCACAGGTAAAGCCCCATAGCCCGCCGCCACGTCATTACCCACGCACACAAACACAGGGCAGATGTTGGCTGGGGTGGAGAGAGGACGGCAGAGTGAGTGAGTGAGTGAGTGAGTGAGTGAGTGAGTGAGTGAGTGAGTGAGTGAGTGAGTGAGTGAGTGAGTGAGTGAGTGAGTGAGTGAGTGAGTGAGTGAGTGAGTGAGTGAGTGAGTGAGTGAGTGAGTGAGTGAGTGGTCTCACGGCCAGACGGGGTGGAGTGAGCTTTCGTCGGGACGGCAGATCCGGCTTATAGATCATGCTGTGTGGCACTGCTGCAGGCAGTGCACACCGAACCACTTTGTATCATGTGCAGTGCACCCTGAGCCATTTCTATCCACATCATCCGATGGCCGGCGGCCGGCCGACCTACGCAATACCGTCTGGGTCGGATCCGGCTCACGCACCGTGGTAACGCTCCCGTCATATAAAAACGGCTGGCTGATATCGCAATGCACATTGACATATCATTTACTTCAGGTAATGAAAAGTGCCGTGTATAGGCTATTTAAGGTACTGTAATGTGATGGAAACAATAACGTAATGTATCATCCTTATTCTTATGAAAAGCGCATGACGCACCAAACATATCAGGTCTAGACACATCTGTGGATTTTTTTTTTTGCGCCTGCCGCAAGAGGAAGTCCTAGAAGTTTTAGATACCGTAGTGGTCTCTATCTCCGATAGAGAAAGCAATATTAGAATAACTCGCCCCTCATCTACCCCGCCTGCCGAGTTAGGCTCGCCCAGCAACAAGCTTGCTTAGCTGGGTGGCCTATTTCGGTGGGCACTTGACCATGCTGAAACCTGACCAGGAACCGACACCGACCTTTTGATCTGCATGCTACCGGCTTATACCCATGTCCTTGTGTGATTGTTCCAACTCCCTGTACGAATGTGTAACTAACCAAGGTATGAATTTATAGGTACTGAAGAAAAAAAAAACAAAAAAAACGTAGTGTCTAGTCAAAGCTATTTTTAGCTTTGATTTCTTTCCGCCCCTTGTATGCATGACTCATAACACTACTTGCATCTGTATTTGGCTGCACAGGTTTTTTTCGCTTCTTTTTTTGTTATTTTCCTTTTCTTAGCAGGGAGTGTCACGACTTGCATATTTTTGTTTTTGGTGTTAACGTATGGTTCTGTGGTCGTGCGGGACCGTGGGTGGACACTCCTGGTCGTCTGTTCATGGGCGGCGGACTATTTTGTAGATTAGTTAGTGCATGAAAAAAAAAATCATTACATGATAGCTCAGCTCTGCTAAATCCGTGCTAATGCCTGGGCTAACTAAAAGACCATGATTTTTCCATCCTAACCCGTAGAATCAGTCTCGCACCCTGTATAAGATACTCCTGATGCGCCTGATTGCCTCATTTCAGACCGGCTGATTGCCGTCATTCAGCCTGCCGCTCGGTATCTATTCCCGGCCGCGGTACTCGCTCGTGCCGGTCCCCCGTCCCCCGCTGTCACTGGACCGCCCCCTTCCACCACTCGTCGTGTCAGTGTCCCGCCGGGCTGCGCTCGTTCTGCTCCACTCAGCGGCTCCAAAAGGGCCGCGGATGGTCCCCGCTACACTGGCCAACACCATTTACGGCCGACGCTTAGACACAGGATTGGCAATTACCGGTATAAACGTGACCGCGGCGCGGCGGGTGGCGGGATGGAGCGGCTCTTTACGGCTGGCCTGATGGCCGGGGCCTGTTTGGGTGGGTAGGCCACTCAGAGAGCGGCTCCTCCGCCTCCTCCGCCTCCGTGGCCGGCTCGGTATTCTCTTCTCTGCTGTATAACCCGTCCACAGTTCTGTGGTCTGTTGACTTTTGTTGACTTGATGATGCATCTTTGGAGCGCGTCGTAAATGTGTGGGCAACAGCTCTACAATTGGTGCTATCTCAACATTCTACCCACCTCAAAATAATATGGCTTTATTTTCCATTCTCACTACATAGAGCCTCATATATGAGTACTGACCATGCGTGTGCCAGTGGAGTATCTGTAATGGCCTCAGGTCAGCGCCTAGCCGACCGTCTAACCGGATTGAGGCCGAGTAATTGGCTAGCCACAGCTGCGTGATCTGCTGTCGGCCCAGTCGCGCTCCGGTTAACCGCGACTGCCAATACTCTCCTCCGCTGAACTGTGAGGGTGTAACGGTCCCAAGTACAGCGCCGTCAGCACCGCCTACCACTCCTCCTTCTGCACGTTAACATCATCCCGCCTGGCTCTCATTTAACTGAACAATGTCCCTCGCTTATTCTCAGAGATGCTGTGGAAATTGGGCGATGTTCAGATACCTTCCGAGATCAGACGCTGTTCAGATTCGTTCTCGAACTCTGGTGGCTCCTGGCACTCCTCCCGAGGGTGACGAGTGCTCAGAACAGGTCCCGAGTGGTGAGACACTCAACGAATCAATTCTTTCCTCAAATGCGGGTGGTATGTTAGTACGTTCTCTGAGGTCGAAACCACTCTGGCTTCTCCATGAATCGGCCACCGCTGAGAGGTTGGGTCTGCCACCATGGTCCGTCACCGGCAGGCGATGTCCAGCCCCCATCAGACGTCGCCCGGCGATATGCAGCCCTCCCGCAGACGTCGGGCGATGTTCAACCCTCCCGCAGACGTTGGGCGATGTTCAACCCTCCCGCAGACGTTGGGCGATGTTCAGCCCTCCCGCAGACGCCCGGCGATGTTCAGCCCTCCCACAGACGTCGGGCGATGTTCAGCCCTTCCGCAGACGTCGGCCACCGATCCGGGCGATGTTCGGCCCTCCCCAGAGGTGGGCTGCTGCTCTGGGCGATGTCCAGCCTCCCTGAGGTCTACCGCCACTCGGTGCCGCCGGCGGGGAGGGCGGGTCCGCCCGGGGCGCCGTCCTCCCGCCGGACGATGTTCAGTCCACCCCCGGCGGAGGGCGGGTCCGCCCGGGGCGCCATCCACCCCCGGCGGGGAGGGCGGGTCCGTCTCGGGGCACCGTCCACCCCCAGCGGGGAGGGCGGGTCCGTCCCGGCGCGCCGTCCTCCCACCGCTCCGGCCGGCGGGCGGGCGGGACTGAGCCGATCGATGCGGCTCTGCCTGTTGGGCGGCGGCCCGGCTCCGTCCGCCCGCCCGCCGGCAGGGTCTGGGCCGGCCGGGGTGACGGCGACCACTGCCGTCCCGGCTGGCTGGCTGGCGCCTCTCCAGCGCTGGCAGCCGCCCGAAACCCGGCCTGTTGCTCGCCCTGTTGGCGCTCCATGTCAGCCCCGCCGACCGTGACAATGAACATGACTGGTCACGGCAGCCCAGGTCGATGTCAGGATCGATTAGCGGCGTCATGAAAAAGATTTATCGGTGGATTAACGCTCTGTAAAATACAGCGCTACAAACAAAACATTTGTGGGAATATTCATTTTTAGTTTTTTATAACGTTTGACGGAAAGAGAAGGCAGAGAAAATGACGCAGACGAATTCCCGGAAGAGGAAATAAATCTCCATACTAACTTTATTCTAAATTCATTGTCTAAATCTATTGCGGCATGCATTTCACTGTCTACAATTTTTCGCCAATAACTTCTGCATAACTTTTCCAATTTCCCTCATATAGTGTCGTTTTGCCGTACCGCAGTCTTGAATTTCTCGGCGTTCTTATCAGCTGCCTATACGAGTAGGCGACTCCATTGAATGATGAGCACTGGTTTCCAATCTGCTCAGTGGCGCCGGTCATCTCTGAGCCCGCAGAGTCTGTGGAATTCTGTACGGCTCCAGAGACTATCATGTCTCCCAGGCCTCAGAGAAGCCGTCCTTGTTAGCGCTGCAAATCTGGTCAGATTCCTTCTCTCAGCTATGGTTCTCGGAGACAGAGGCTAGAGCTTCGCGGAACGAGCTAGCGCTGCTGGATGAGTCTGGCTAGGCTACCACTAGAGTCATCCAGCCAGTCAGCTACTTGGCATCTAGTCAGGCGATAGCCAGCCAATCGTTCAGCCATTCAACTAGCCAGTCACTCAGTCAGTCGGCCTGTCAGCGTGCGAGCACACTGTGCCTGTCACCTTTCAGCCAGCTAGCCATTCAGCTTGTCAGACTGTCGGCCTTTCAGCGAGCCAGCGAGCCAGCCTTCCAGCTCGAGCTGCTCTTCTCAGCTCGGCTAGGCTGCTTCGTTTACCCACCAACACGATTACACGTAATTCAATCACTTTTGTGGTCTAGACGGAGGGCGTTCCGACCCGAATTCGCTTACCCTTTCAGCGGAACGGCTCATAACGTGCCCGGCAAACACGTGCTGCAGTGTAAATCTAAGGCAGTGGGGAAACATCAAACAGGCAGGCAGGCGCCCACGGTTCCTTGTTGGCCGCCAACCTTTTTAACATCAAAGGGGTGCGTGTTTTATGCAGTCCTTCCGGCAGTCTGAAAAATATGATTATGGAATAAATTAATTGGATTAAATTAAATAAAATGCTAAGAAAATAACTATGTCATATAAACCATTTTAAGCAGAAAATGATAGGCATTAGAAGTGAATAATGTTATGATCTGACATCGTTAGCTCGAGTTGCGAAAGCAAACAGAAGAGGTCTTAGATCAATGAGAATGCCAACACATATTATGTTGGGTTTAGTTTGTATTACTGCTCTGACAGACATATTTTCTCGAAGGTTTCTAGTCGCCATTTGTCGCACTTCTGATCCAGTACTGGAACCCGGATTACCAGCTTATTAGTAATGGCTATAATCGTAATGCATAGTCAAGGTAAGCCTGTAAAGACGATTAAAGCGTGACAATAACATGACAAACATCAATTACACATTTTCATTCCTTCCCGTTTTGCTTTGAGCTTCATTCACGATACTCAAAGCTTTGACTGATGTTTCAGAAATACATGTTAAAGCTTTATAGAGGCTCACACTTTTTCCGCCGAGATGATCTCTCGTAATGCCCACTCCATTCCTAAGTGGCCTTTCTAGTCCGTATCTCTCAGGACCTTTTAATTGGGCACAATACTGCAGCATTGATATTCTAGTTCTGTGTCGATATCGTCTATTGTTGCCCCCGCTGACCCCGTTTCCCGCTCTCTCTCCCGACAGTAGCTGAACTCTCGGCTGATCACCTGTACCAGCCGCTACTCATATACTCTCATTTACTCCCGGCAGTGGCTCAACTCTCGGCTGGTCACCTCTACCAGCCGTTACTCATGTGCTCCCATTTACTGCCGGCAGTAGCTGAACTCTCGGCTGGGCCACCTCTACCAGCCGTTACTCATGTGCTCCCATTTACTCCCGACAGTAGCTGAACTCTCGGCTGGGCCACCTGCACCAGCCGTTACTCATATACTCCCATTCACTCCCGACAGTAGCTGAACTCTCGGCTGATCACCTGTACCAGCCGTTACTCATATACTCCCATTCACTCCCGACAGTAGCTGAACTCTCGGCTGATCACCTGTACCAGCCGTTACTCATGTGCTCCCATTTACTCCCGGCAGTGGCTGAACTCTCGGCTGGGCCACCTGTACCAGCCGTTACTCATGTGCCCCCATTTACTGCCGGCAGTGGCTGAACTCTCGGCTGGGCCACCTGTACCAGCCGTTACTCATGTACTCCCATTTACTCCCGGCAGTGGCTGAACTCTCGGCTGGTCACCTGCACCAGCCGTTACTCATGTGCTCCCATTTACTCCCTGCAGTGGCTCAACTCGCGGCTGGTCACCTGTACCAGCCGTTACTCATGTACTCTCCTTTACTCCCGGCAGTGGCTGAACTCGCGGCTTGGCCACCTGTACCAGCCGTTCAACATCCGCCTGTTCCACCTGGCGGCCGTGGTGGTGCTGATCGCCTGCCTGTTCTTCCTGGTTCCGGCGGCCATCTTCAATCGCCTGGAACCGGGCTGGTCGTTCCTGGACTCGCTCTACTACTGCTTCATCTCCCTGACCACGGTGGGCCTGGGCGACTACGTGCCGGGCGACCGGCCCGGCCAGCAGTACCGGCCGCTCTACAAGGTGGCCATCACAGGTGAGAGGCGCCCTCGGCCCGGCCAAAGACACCAGCGCCAAGGGACCTTACAAGGCGGATACTGGAACCCCAGGGGTCGGGGTTCATGGCGCCCGGCCCGTCCACTGATTCTGGGAACCCTAGGGGTGAGCAACGCCCTTTCATAATTTCACATTGGTGTTGGTTTTCTGATAATGTGACGTTGTGACGTGCTCCGAGTTACCTGCTGGTCTGCCTGGTGATGATGTGACGGTGTTCATGTGACGCTGTGACGTTGTTACGTGTTTCAGGTTACCTGCTGGTCGGCCTGGTGATGATGATGTGACTGTGTTATGTGACGCTGTGACGTTGTGACACTGTGACGTGACGTGTTCCAGGTTACCTGCTGGTCGGTCTGGTGATGATGATGTGGCTGCTGACGGTGTTCGCCGAGATCCCGCAGCTCAATTTCGGCATCTGGTTCCTACACCAGTCGGATGAGACGACCGCCGACCCGGAAAAGATGCGGCTGTCGGGCGCCTCGGCCGGGCCCAAGTACACGCAGCAGGTGAGATGGCAGTGGTTCGTCACTATAGGGTGGGGGGGGGGCAGGCTGATCGGTCTCACTCGCTGCCCCGATCCAGTTTTTTTCACTGCTGGTCTGCGGTCCTAGTGGACCCAGAATCTCAGCAAACGTAATAATGCAAGGGCGTACTTTGAGGTGCTCAGATCTATGAGGGGCTAACGTGTATACCGCTATAATGCGAGCGACTATTTTTGTTTTCTGAAAGGAATGACTGCAAAGATCGTGAAAATATCAGATTCAGCATACCGTAAAATGGGGTGTTAAGGGACAGTGGGGTGTTAAGGGACAGTTGCATGGGAAAAACTTTGAGTCATATTAACTTCCTAATTTGAGAAGGTTCAATAAAAACTTCAGTGTGGTAGTTGACACTGTTTTGCTCTTGACCATAGGACAAAATGGTATGGTTTTTCATGCAAGTGATTTGGTTCAAAAATGGATATGAAAATCATGCTACATTTTCACAAAATTGAAACATCTCCAAAACTCTGTGTGTACCACACACGTACCACATAAACTAGTGGGTGTACAGGGAAAATGAATGCATAGGTGTATTGTCACATGTATTGCACATGTTTCCTGAAAAACTTGTGCAAATCCACCCATTCATTCATCATCCTCTTCCTCTTTTCCGGATACATGCATATTTTGAGGTGGATGTGGGTTGCTAAGGGACAGGGAAGAAAAAATAAAAAATAATATCTAAATATAATTTCATTAAGTTTTCTTTCAGTAGGCATGGAAAACACCAAATTCCACATAAAATGCTGGCAAGTTCATGCTTTTATCTATAACACATCTTAAGTTATGTAACAAAACATCTCAACACTCTTTTACAATGATGGGTCAATGGAGACTGATGTAGGTAAATGTGATGTCATCATAAAAAGACTAAAACAAAGAGGGCAACATAATGACAAGTGTCTAGCTTCAACATGGGTTTTTATTGATGACAGAAAATTACTTTTTGGTTCTGTTTACCTTATAATTAGCACATTTTCCACAAGCGTAAACTGCATTACACGTAATTGGCTAAAAAGGTCATTAGTGGTGAATCAACCTGACTTGTTTTGTGACAGAATATGCAAAACATTTCAATAAATAAATTGTGTGCCCTTCCACACCCCAATTGTGGGCATTTGATGACCATTTCTTGGAATAATATAGGTGTCCCTTAACACCCCACATTGAGGTGCTAAGAGGCAGTGATGAGAAATAATAAAAAATAATATGCACGTATAAATCTTAAAAACTTAAATGTGGCAGGCATGTAAAGCACCAAATTCCACATAAAATGCTGACAATTTGATGCTTCTATCTCCAACCCTTCTTGAGTTATATAACAAAACACCTCAAAACTGTCCCTTAACACCCCGTTTTACGGTATATGTCAACACGCTACATAGGTGCACCCAGTAATATAGCATATAGTTCATGGAAGTATTTAACGAAATGACACCGTTTTAATGAACACTTGTTATCTGGGTAACCAGATTACGAGACACGTAGAGTCTCCATCAGCTAGTAGCCTCTATCAATGGGAGGTTGATTATTCTTACACTATCATTAGATCAGTAGTTGACTGATTCCCATTTACGACTCCTATTAACCGGATAACAACTGCCCATGGAAGTGGAGTCCGTCTCCATGGTAAAATGATTAACTGTTCCCACAGCTGAGCTAGAAATAGTTTACCGTACACTGGACCCTGATGAACCAATAAAGTTAGTATAGAGCCAATTTACTTTTTAATGACTAACCGAATCACATTCATTTTTCTGAGGATCTCACTCGACGAGCGATGCATTAGTCACTGGCGGGAAAGGTCGCCGCTGGAACGGAGGGGTCAGCCCCGTGGGACCTTATCTGGCAAAGAGGCCTGGTAAACAGCGCCACTGGCGGCGCCAAATGTCGGACAATCTCGCAAATGGCTGCGGAGGGAAGCCAACTGAAATAGACGGTGCTGCTGGTGCCGTGATGTTTCCCGACCAGATGTCAACGCTCAGCGGCGCAATCACGGCTGGCATGTTTCCAGAGAGTAGAACAACGTCGGGCTCCGTAGGCTTTGGTTGAGTGTAGGCTTTGGAATGTATACAGGCATGGTGGAATGCTCGTTAAGTCGTTACTCATGCGAGCTTTTCATTCTTAGCAGTGAATTTGGAAAAATCAGAGTCGCTAAGTAACATGGAGGAATGTCCCAATATATTTTCAGCTGGAGCTCACTGTTCAACGCTATACGTGTATACGGCCTTGGTTCCATAAGCGTAACTTTATATCTCTTTGTGGGTGCTCAAGCACCCCCAATCCTGAGCTCAGCACCCCCTGCCTTCTTAAAGCACCCCCAGCCTCCTCAAAACATTCCCAGCTGACTCAAGGCCCTCAATAATCAGAATGTCCATCTCCTAGTACTGTAATGAGCCCAGTGAATCATGCAAATACTATGCTTACTCAATTCAGTGACTAAGAGAATATACATTGAATAAATCACCACAAATTAAGATGCATGATATTTGTGTTAACATTACATCTGATATTATCAGGGGCCCGTGAACGATTTTCAAGTTGGGGGGGGGGGGTGAGCCTAAAATACCTGACATGATGCATATAAAACAGTGGCATAGCTAGGGGTGTAAGGGGACACGTTTCCCCTCCCCCCATCGGGTTCAAAGGGACGCTTGGGTCCGAGAGGCCCTGCGGCGCCATTTGACCGCTGAGGGTTAAAGGGACCCTCCCACCTTCAAAAAAGTTAATGAATTGGCATGAAAGTGATGTCGCTCGGTTCAGAAAGAGCAAAAACGAATATCTACCAAATTTCATCGAAAAATATTCACCGGTTTTCAAGATATTAGACTTTTACTTTTGTTTACTTTTTGGGATCTCCGCTGTTCCTAGCGACTTTATTTGAAAGTGCGGCATTTGTTGCGCGCAAAGCAGCATATACCACCGCGTGCTACAAAACGTTTTAGTCAAACATTTAACGGACGTTCGAAAGCCTGATGACGTCATCAGATTCCCGTAATGGTTAAGAGATAGGGACCACGCTGGTCCCACCCTGCAAGTAAAGGGAAGAAATTTCTTGAACACCATAAAGCTGCGGGGGTTGCGACCAGGATAAATGGTGGTTTCTGAGCCTGGCCGCAAACTTGGCTATCTCAACTCAAAACTAATGTTAAGGTGGGAGGGTCCCTTTAACGATGGCCATATTTCTACTCAGAAGGGCCCCGTGGGGCTCTTTAGAGCACCTCATGGGCCCTAAATAGCCACACTAAGGTCTCCATAAGGGCCCCACGCCGACTTCTGAGGGCCTCTTGCGGCTTTTAAGGACACCTCGGTGGTCTCCAAAGGCCCGTTAAGCCTGAAACAGACTCTTTCCGCAGTCAGGAAATCGCATGCGAGAGCCTATTCAAATACATGGAAGCACGCTCGCATCAACCGCACGCATGACGCACCTCCCGCGAGCGATTGATGCGAGAGGAATTACAATGTTTTTGAATAGGCTCTCGCATGTGATTTCCTGAACGCGGAAAGAGTCTGCTTCAGCCTTTACTGGCCTCTGAGAGGTCTTACCGGCCAATGAGGGAAAGTTCTAGGTTCATTTCCCACATGTGATGGTCCCACACTTATTTTTCTGAGGGCCCCATAACGGCAACTATGGGGCCCTCGTCGGTGCCTATGAGGGCCCACACCGGTGTCTCTGAGGGTTTCACACCCCCAACTCTGAGTGCCTACACCAGTGCCTATTAAAACCCTATATCGGCGGCTCTGAGGACCCACCCAACACCTGCGCATCTAAAGGCCACCCACTGATGACTTGAGGGCCCCACAACGGTGACCCTGAGGGCCCCACCGGCGTCTGACAGTACCATGCCGGTCTCTTAGGACCCCGCAGGACTTCTTCTGCCGGCCTAGTAATAAGGACCCCTTGCTGGTCACTGAGGCCCCCTGCCGGCTTGTAGAGAGTTCGCGTCAGCAGCTCTAAAGGCCCCACACCCGTCTGTAACGGCTCTACACCAGCGTCATATGAGGGCCCGGAGCAACGCCTGTAAGGACCCTCATCGGCGCCTCTGAGAGAATCACACTAGCACCTCTGATCGCCCACACCGGCACCTGCATGGCGGCCCCACACCGGTGCCTCCCTTACCGGCGGCTCTGAGGGCCCTACGCCGATGATTCTGAGGGTGCCGCCGATTACTGAAGGCACCACACAAGCCCTTAGTGTAGCTGAGCTTTAATCCCATACCGGCCCTCCGAGGGCGCCACGTCAGTGCACTCATTGCCCCACACCCCTCCCTCACACCCGGAGCGGGTAAACTGTGTTATACCTATAGCAACGATTTTACCACCGTTGTACGTTATATATTTCTCAAAGTTGACTCAAAGTGGTCCAGTACAAAATCTGGCCTGCCACACTTATGGCCAAGGTCAGGCCCAAACACGTTTTGGGCAATCAGTCTCAGTCCATGACTCCATTCTTCGGCAACTACGGTGCAAGGCCGATACTGTAGAAACTTGCAATTTGTACCCTTGACCTGACCTTGACCTTGACCTCAAACTTTAAATTAAGTGCATGTTTTTAGTTATTCGTGATGAGATCTTTCGATTGGCGTTTGAATTTTCCAAATCGGACCAATAGTTCGGGAGATAACAGGGGGGTAAAATTTATCCCCCCCCAGCCCCGCGCGTTCGGCTGGAGAGTGGAGAGTGAGACCCCAGCCCCGCGCGGGTTAATGCATTGGGTGAGCCAAAATTGTTTTACAGTGGCGCTATTAAAACAAGCTCTCGAACCGATTTAACATCATTTTTTGCATGATGCCTGATGGCTACAGTAAAAAAGAACAGCTAAAAAAAACTACAAAAACTATGGAATGCCTTTCTGAAAGCTACTGAGCACCCCCAATGATTTTTGGAAAACTACACCCATGCTTGGTTCAACGCATACAATTAGGCAGAGCTTACCTGGAGTTGTTAGCCTCTCGGCTTACTCTCAACTCCGATGTTTACCCTAGTTGCCCAGGCTGCTGCTGTCTCGGTCGGCTTATCTACATCACCATGGCCTTAGCTCGAGTCGCTTCATCGCGACAGGTCATCATGTGACAGGGGCGCGGGAACTACTTTCCGACTGGGGGGGCACACCATAATAGAGATCAACCTAGGGTACCCCCAAATCTAGTTTTCTCACCGGTTTTAGGCCACTTATTTTTCACCCCTCGGCTTTTTCAACAAAAAAAAAGAGAAAACATTTGCAAAAAAAAGTGTGGTATTCCGTCTCAAAGCTATGGGGGCACCGCCCCCACGGCCCCAGAGTTGGGGGGGGGCAAGCTGCCCCCACTGCCCCCCCGGCTCCCGCGCCTATGTCATGTGAAGACTCCCTGCGGCGCCAGGCTGCCGCCTTAACCACAATGAATTCCGGCCACGCCACGCCTGGCTGGGGCCGTGAAATATTCCGGGTCGGAAATGTGGCTCAGGGAAGGCCGCCGAGTGCGGACGGTAGGCTCTGTCGGGCTCTGCCGGCCAGGGTCAGAGTCGGTAGTGTAACACGTCAGTCGATAGATGGCAGCGTAGTTGGGCGAGCCTGCGGTTCTAAGGACGATTGTTAGCCTTCGCTCAGCCGTTCTCGCCGAAACTTGCGGCGGATGACCGAGAGAGATGTACAGCGCGAGCTGAAGGGACGTCCCGCGAATACTGCGGGCCCTTCACTGCGCCGTCTGCTGACGGAGCGGATAAGGGACGGATGGGTGCCCACTATTTGTTCCCTTCCCCATTAAAAGTAAATGGGGAAATCACATGCCTTATTTTTTCATTGCAACACTTCGAAATGGCCAATTATGCAATACTCGTAAATGATATCATGTATGACCAACCTTGACTACCTTGCTGCCCTTTCTCTTATTTGACAACTGTAAAGTCATGTGACGTCTCCAAAGGCCACCAAAAGTTTTTTAACAACTCCTTATAGAAAAGCGGTACAACCGCGCAAATGGTCTCATTGTGTTCAGCTCGTTGTGACGCCAAATAAGGTAATATATATTGACCTTGAAATCACGTGACCTGAGGTCAACTTTTGACCTTGAGCCTTCGAGATCAACTTATATCCTTCGATGTGGATGGACGAGTGAGCTCGTTGGTGTTATTATTTTTGCTCTAGCTTGATTAGTTCAAAAATTTGTGAAAACCCCTCTTGACCTCTAGCGCTGCTATTTTGATTGTTGTATCTGACCCCTGTGACGTACCTTTTTACCTGACCTGAAAATGACCCTCGTAGACATTATAGTACTTGTCTGCCTGTATCCAATACCGTTAAACGCTTGTCCAAAGCTTCTCTCGTTTAAGAAATCTGAGGGGGTGCGAAGCTGGCGCTGACCCTCGTCGGTGCACGGTTTTAAGGACTGACTCCTCTAACAAATCTAAAGTCTTTAAAAAATCTTAAGTCTCAACTGTCAAGCGTCGAATTATTTCCAAATGCCCCTACTCGAACGGCGAACCTCAGCCGTTTGATCATTTGTCATTTCTCGGTTAACTATTTTATCGAAAGTGACAGTTTTTAAGTTACTTATTAAAAAAAAAAACTAAAATTGTTCGTCAACTGTTTTTACTGCGGGGTCTATCTTACTTTCCATGCCAGACAGAACCTTCGGTCGAGTTCAGCCGTCTGCTCAACATTTTCAAGGTGGCTTTCGTTGTTTGATTTCTGTGTAACAGCTCGGACGTAACATCTGCTATCCCTGGAAAAATGGCCTGCAGCGGACCGTTCTGTTTGATTGGCGATCGCTCACGCTGGACTTTTCAGCTGCCATCAAAAACTGAAGTTTGGTTGCTGGTCCAATGGCTGGTTTGATGACTGAGTGACCGTTTCGCATCTCCCTGAATGTAACTAAGAATCGGTAAAACATGCGTGAAATTAAAAGCGTCTTTATTCTGTATCCATAGCCATGCTTTACATACAGTGAAAGAACACACGAGTCACCATTCCGTATGGATGTGTTAAATGTGTATGTAGTCATGAAGAGTCAGTAGATTAGATACATTTACCGTTCCTGATGTGCACGCACTACATGTACGAATACTCAGCGTCAGCTTCATTGACACAGTTTAACGATCAGATTGTCTCGTGTGACAGATACTATTATATCTGCTGTCCGCTTGTCGTTACCTATAAAAGCGATCGCTTGCGCTCTGGTCTTGATATGTAGGATCCGCGAGTACCCCCGATGGATCCCTCGATTTCTCTTGGCTGAAACTCTGGGAAGCTGTGCAGACTCCCGAGTCGGCAGAAGGAGCTCACTTCTTTTTGCCCTGGTAGCGCGGGTTGTTGGGGTTGAGCTGGTTGGCGCGGTTGTTGACGGCCGCCCTGGCCATCTGGTCGAAGGAGGCGTTGTGCCGGTTTGTGCCGCCCTGGTAGCTCGGATGGTTGGGGTTCAGCTGGTTGGCCCGGTTGTCGATGGCCTTCTGACCCATCTTCTGTCCGCTGGGCATTGTCTGCCGGAACACACACACATACAAGCTGACGCGGGGCACACACCACGCAGATCAGAGATAGACTTTGGGGGCCAATGCTTTATGTAAAAGTAGAGTTCAGCTTCCCCGAAACTTAAACGCTCATAAATTGTATCCGAAATAGAAATAATCTTGAAAACAAAATAAGCACGCCTAATTCATTTAAAAAAAAATAAATTTGGTTTGTGTGGTGAGAACATGAAATAATGATTAAGATGTAACAACTCACGGATAGAGATGTTCAATTTTATTAAAATTAAGCTCAGAATGATCTGGACTTTACGTTAGGTACTCACCGTTTTGGGCGCGGTTGTGACGTGACGACCGCCAGTGGTGCACTTTGGTCCGCGACTGAGAACAGTGCTGAGCGGAGGGGGGCTCGGCGGTCTTAAATATCGCCCAGGGCGGCACGCGCCACGGCCCAGATGGCTGGCGTCATCTGCCCGAGGGTATTCCCCGGGTCGGAACGCGATGCGGCTCTGTGGCCAGCGGGCATCGGGGTCAGGTGGGCACCAGGGACAGGCTGACGAGACCCCCAGCCAGCTCCGCCGACGTCAGTTTGTGTGAGGTGATTCGATACGAAATTGTGTGGATGCTGCTAGATTCTGAATTGGCATTGTTTTGTTGGTAAATACAAAACAATGCCAAACAAAGTACAAGTAAAATGTCAACAAAACAAAGAAAATTTGTTATTTGTTAGTAGGTATACAATTATTTGACTGAAATTAATGCTCATAACTGTTATAGTTGCCAGCTCAACACAATGCACGTCAGGGGGCACAGTCCGGTCACCATGCCCTTATCCATATTGGTTATTCAATATTCATGTAACGTTTTATATTGGTGGATTAATAAATGACCCATGTACCTTTAAAGTAGTGTATCTGTCGCATGTAGCCAACGGAAAAAGGGAACCGCTTCTCTGATATAGGGGAGAGTGGGGTAAGATGCCCAGGGTGGGAAAGACGCCCCACCCCCTCTAGCGGGGAAACAAAGAATCGAACCTGGAAATTAATGTTCTTAGCGTAAAGCAGAAGCCTGCCTTGTTAACTGCACAAAAATTTGCGAAGCTCAGTTGGGCAACGGCTGGCTGGTGATTGCATGTTTTTTTATTTGCTGCTTTCAAAAAATATTTTGGCGTCAAAACATTGTAAATATCAAAAAAGGTAGATAATTTTTGCGTCCCTTGCTATAGTCGTGATACATTAACATGCGTGTACTGTGTCCCAAACAGTTTGTTTCAGGGTGTAGTTTTATGGCTAACAAATTGTGCTGATTTAATGTTACTTCGGTACCTTGGGGTAAGATGCCCCCTGTCCTGATGGGGAAAGACGCCCCCCTAAATCCGTAGGCTGTCCTTCAAGCAGCCCGTCAAATCATGTATTACATATGAAGAAATAGTATGTAGTGCTCTAGCGAGGAACATCTTGCTATATGTAGTTAGGATTTCAAATGACCTTTTCCTCGATAATTAATTGGAAATTCAATAAAAAGTAAATATTATATTGTTTGGCAAATTTTCGAACAACAGTTCATTCTCAAGCCACATGAAACAATTGACAACGAAGTTTTATAACTGCCGCCAAGCTACATTTTTTGAATTCTCACACGTGATGTACAAGGTGGTCTTCTTAAAATCAGAAATCTGAACTTAATCGATCATATCCCAAGCTGTTCCGAATCCACCTATTCACATATACATACATACATGACCATCAAAAGTAATATGCGAGCACAATCACATAAATATATACATGGTTCGTTTTGGTCGTGGTCGTGATGAATAGATCGCGTAGCATTTAAAAAAAAGGTGACAACAATGACAATATAAACACTTTGGAAGTCTCGTAGCAGATTATGTCGTATAAAGTACGGTTCGGTTTAAACAATCATACAAATGCATACAACTAATATGCGAGCACTCTCAATTCCCATACATGAATATGGTTCGTCTTGGTCGTAGTCGTGCTAAATAGCTGATCGTGTCGCATTAAAAAAAAAGACAACAACAATAACAATACAAACACTTCGAAAGTCTCGTAACAGATCGTGTCGTAAAAGCAATGGGATGACCGTAACATACGTGGGAGAGACGAAGCGCCCGGTGCGCTTACGATTCAATGAACACCTGAGGGACGCGCTCAACAAAACACATGACACCCCCATGGGAGATCATTTTCAAGAGTGCCACTCCACCCACGAAGGAGGCATTCCCCTCAAAGTACGTGTTCTGTATAAGTCGAAAGACCACCCAGATAGGAAACTCGCGGAATCCCTCCTGATCCAAAAGAAGCGCCCAAAACTCAACTCCAACATGTCTTCATGGCCCATACTATAGAATGATAGTTGTTTGTTTTCATTACCCACTGGCTGTCATTGAAATTTGTTATGTGTGGATAATTGTTAGGTACTGCGCTTGATTCGAAGATGTATACATATGTATGATTGTGTAAACCCTACCTTTTACGACACGATCTGTTACGAGACTTTCGAAGTGTTTGTATTGTTATTGTTGTTGTCTTCTTTTTTTTTTTTAATGCGACACGATCAGCTATTTAGCACGACTACGACCAAGACGAACCATATTCATGTATGGGAATTGAGAGTGCTCGCATATTAGTTGTATGCATTTGTATGATTGTTTAAACCGAACCGTACTTTATACGACATAATCTGCTACGAGACTTCCAAAGTGTTTATATTGTCATTGTTGTCACCTTTTTTTTTAATGCTACGCGATCTATTCATCACGACCACGACCAAAACGAACCATGTATATATTTATGTGATTGTGCTCGCATATTACTTTTGATGGTCATGTATGTATGTATATGTGAATAGGTGGATTCGGAACAGCTTGGGATATGATCGATTAAGTTCAGATTTCTGATTTTAAGAAGACCACCTTGTACATCACGTGTGAGAATTCAAAAAATGTAGCTTGGCGGCAGTTATAAAACTTCGTTGTCAATTGTTTCATGTGGCTTGAGAATGAACTGTTGTTCGAAAATTTGCCAAACAATATAATATTTACTTTTTATTGAATTTCCAATTAATTATCGAGGAAAAGGTCATTTGAAATCCTAACTACACATGTATTACATACTTGTGATGAGAGACAAAAGCCGATCTGGGACTATTGAGAGTCCGGTACGGTCGGGTGCTCCCCATGCCGGTCTCTCGGCCCACACAGCGACTTTTTGGGCGGCATCTGACTCTGAGAGCCCTCACGACGGCCTCTGTGGGCCCCATTATTGGTTCTATGGCCCCTCACGACATCCTTTGAGGGCTCCCACGTTGGCTCCACGGGCCGCGCTGACATCTGAGGTCCCCACGATGGGCTCGAGGGCCCTCAAGCATCATGAAGACCTATAAGGGCCCCACAGTGGTCTCCGAACGCCACCACGGAGGCTTGTTTGGCCACGCTGGACTATGATGGCCCTAACGATGACCTCTTAAGCCCCTTACGACTACTTTTGAGGGCCCTTACGATGACGTTTGGTGTCTACTGCAGGCTCGAAGGGACTACTGATTCGTTCAGGCGATTCACGTGCCTATTTATGTCACTTTTAGTGCAGGGGGCATCTTACCCAGCGCCAGGGGGCGTCTTTTCCACCCTGTGGGGTAAGATGCCCCCTTTCACTTCTTCAGGAAAATGCTTGATAGCAAAAAAAGTTATCATATTTCAGGCACGAAAGTGTGATATTTTTGGAGAAAAATGATGTCGGCTTCCGTTGAAACTCCAAGTTTTGGCTTTCCGATCGTCATTTTCGAATAATATATGACATAGTCAAACCCTGGGCATCTTTCCCCACTCTCCCCTACCGTCCGAAACAAAAACAACCAAGCCGCTTGCACAATGTACCTAAAATTGCATGTTGAAATTGTTAACTAAATTATCTTCAAAATGTTTCCTTTGCCAACATAAAAGCATAGACTCGGAGCTCGGACTCGGAGTGTAACCTCGGACTCGGAGTGTAATCGCCACGCCGATTGTGGATTGCTCTTGATCGTCAACACATACATACATACATACATAGAAAGTACACCTTTCATGTATCCCGTCATCCTTATCAATACCAAAAGTTGCAAAGCCATCTTTAGTCGTATGTACAGAGTAACGTATATAGGGCCAGCATTTACTTCTTTCATAAGGTGCTGTCACTTCACGTGACTAATAAGGTGACGACTCGTCACCTACCATAGTCTTAAGTTTGAATGTTCCTGCGTTTGCAAAAAAAAGATGTATGTAGTTGTGCCAAAAAAGGCACTGACGTTGCGTTGCTGGAGAGATGCTCAGAAAACCAGAGGGGCTGTCAAAATGCCCCCCCCCCCTCCTCACAGGCAAAATAATGATCTAATAAATAAAAGTTAAAATTAATGATTTAGATTTTCGATAAGTCAATTATTCAACTATGCAAAATTGGCTCAACTTAATGTCGAGTTTGCTAATCGAGTCAGTCAATTTTGTTTTCAATCCGATAGATACATTTCTGATGTAGGCGCGGTCGCATTGCTCCTCGCCTCCTCGGAAAGTTGCCGTACCTTATTTGTCTAACTCGTGCTGCAACTGCCTATACCAAATAAATTTATGTGGTACCAGTTGACTTCTTGTGGCCTGACATAAGTAACCTGGGACAAACAGGACGAAACAAACAGGACGGTCGCACCTCACGTCACGCAAAAAAAAATAAGCACGATGAACTACATAAAAAACGAGCTACTTGTACATTGTGCTATTCCTAAAAGGAAGTATGTTCAATGAACGCCAAATGAATGCCTTGTTAGCGTGAGAGGATCTGCGGCCGCGAAGCAGCGTCTCAATGACCGAGGAACGATTCCTTGATCGCGTGTCCATCGAGATCACGGTTCCATTATTATGTATTTCTAAGCAGAAAACTTCCCTTAAATTATCAATCTGAAAGCCTTTACCGGCATAGGAGGCGTAGCAGGGTCCAGACTATGTTATTGTTCTGTTTTGAAGTGATTGGTGGAAAAAGGTGAGCAGCCGCCGCGGTTTTTGTCTGCGGGATATCCCACATCATCTGATAGGCCGCGCGGTCGATGGTTGATAGTGACGGCCGAGGCGCGCTGTGTGATATGGCCGGCGGGGTCAGGCCGGGGGTCTGGTGTCGCCACTGGGGGGGGGGGGGGGGATGTGGTATGTCCGCCAGGGATGCCGCGGGCTCTCCCCGGCGGCCTCCTCTGTCCCGTTCGGCCCGGGCGCCGCCTCCCGCCGCTGCCCGCTGCCGCTGAGTCAGACCACTCCGAGAGGCGCGGGTCGAGGGCCCGGCCCACTGCTCAGTGCCCAGTGACCGGGCGGCGGCATATCGTTGGACTGGTGAACGGGACGCCGCGAATATTCAAATCCAGTATATGAAAAGATCATTCTCCGGAAACAGCCTGACAATTAACCAAACCAACCCTTATCAAACAATTTCTCACCAACAATTAGACAATCATGCGCTTTCCATACGCTGGATTTCAATATACGCACCATGGAAGAGCAGTTCAGATTAAGATTGAGGTATCTTGGATTAAGGCTAGGTCACAGACGCACACGTGAAACCAGGGCACACAGTTCCCTCTGCATCCTCGGGACAGTCTCCGCTTTTCTGACCCCTGTCAGAGCTAGGCGGTCACCTTTATCCGACGTGGGCTCCTCAGGAGCAGTCAGTCATCACACATGCGGTATGATGACCGTTTGTGGGGCTGGGCGACCTGTCCACGTGCAGACAGACTCGGCCCCGGCGGAGCACAGAGCACCGGGGTGACCGTCCAGACTAGAGATGTCAATCGGATACCAACTTTTTGGTATACCGATACCATACCGATACCAACTTGGTATTTGGTATTTCAATCGTAGGTAATGTGTTTGGTATTTTGTTGGTATCATAAGCCCTCACTAATGTATAAGAGGCTAAGAAATTGTCAAAAGTTGGTATTTCCCTCAGTTTCCCAAGTTGGTTTGGCTTCGGTATTTTCCCGTGGTTTTGGTTGGTATTTGGTTTGGTATCGGTATTCCGATTTTCCGTAATTGACATCACTAGTCCAGACCAATGTCTTTCCTTAATGCCTATCATCCTTCCGGCTCTCCAAAGGTCTCCATAGACCGAAACGGTCTACCCTACAAACAAATGTGAGGTGAGGGGAAGCGAGGGGTCATGTTGAAAGTTGTTTCGTTTTTACGACGTGGGCACGAACGATCGTCCTGCTCGATTAAGAGAATTACCAAGACGGACCATGCGTACGGAATTGGATTATCGGCCTTTTCCATAGGCGGCGGAGCGAGGGGGCACCGGGGCACCGTACCCCCTTTGATTTTGGCATTTTAACATTAGCCCTACGGGCGTTGCATGGAAAGAATGGGACCAAAAGTCGGCAGTGTCTCCCCCCCCTTAATTGAGGGTGCTTCGCCGCCAATGGCCTTTTCAAATGACCGTGTTAATGACGGCCCTAGTTAACAATGAGCTAAACCTGTGCCCGCAGTTCAAGCTGCCGTCATCACCTATTTATGACAGAGTTTGCAAATGCAAGGGAACCGAGAAAGTACGGTGTCTGGGGAAAGCAATCGCGTGTATTTTGGATGACTCTTTTGAACCACGCCAAGCTTGATTAGCACTCCGTGGCCAGTGCACAGCGGGTTGCAGTAGTTAATTTACACTAGTTCAGTTTAGAGGAGAGTACCTGCAGCTCATCTCGGCATTTCCGGACTTGGTATGTTTACCAGCCGGGGAAATCCCGCCCGCTCGTGCGATGCACGGGGTTCCTGGCACGCGAAAACACTGAGCGGGCTCGTCCGCTGTGACAGCGACACGACACGCCCCGGCCGGTGTCAGGTTTCAGTCATGTGACCGTTGTTGTTTGTGTTGGTTTTGCAGATGGAGAATCACGTGAAGGCGACCAGCCGGCCGGCGGAGGAGACGCCCAGTCCGGAGGAGACCACTCCGGTGCACGCCCGGCAGAAGTGATCCGTCAGCGATCCTACGGCAGCCGGTGCCCTCCTCGGCAGCCAGTAGGTGGCGCGCCGCACCGGAGACGGCCGGCCTAGGTGGCGCTGCTATCGCTGAGCGACTGGTCCAGATGGCGCTTCGGAGGGAGGGGAGGCTTCCGGTGGTGCGCAGCAGAGTGGAACGTCTGGAACGTCTGGACCGTTCCTCGTATTGAGACCCGCGCGGAGCCTCAATCACACGACACTGACCTGGTGATCTCTATCAGTAGCTGCCGGCGGTGGTCTGACCTGCAGCTGACGGGGGGGGGGGGGGGGGGGGGTCCGGCTAGCCATCTGGCCGTCGGAACTGCCCCTGGTGCTGGGGCTGGACCGGTGGCACAACGGGCGCTGATGTCACCCTGAACTGGGGAGAGACTGAACTTGTCTGCGATCTGAAAGTGGAGCGAGGTGGGACTGGTTCATGTGTGAGGTTGGAGATATTAGTGGAGCTGGATTAAATCCATGGCTGGTGCAGGAAATGGAGCCGTTCTCAGAGCTGGTGCTGCTACTGTAACGGGCTGTTCAGTACTGCCCCGCCAAGGAGACCGAGTCCGAGTCTGATATTATCGGATGGACACTGGCCTTGTTCACACCTCTGCCGCCTGGTGTCTGTGGTGTCAGCGATCACCTATCACTGATGGTGTCATTGCTGTCAGTGGTCGTAGATGGCTGCCCGTTAGCATCTGCCAGCCTGAGTGTCGGCCGATATCGAGCTCTGCTATAACGGATCGAACAGCTATCGAATAGGAGGAGACGAGCAGACAAGCTTACCGAACTACCGGCGCCTCTCCGGAATATGTCGAGGAAACGGCGACCGATAGCATGCCCGAAGCCAGTTCTGCTGGTGTCGATCTGAGAATTTGGCGATTGTGTTTTATTTTCAATGCCGTCACATGCGATATTCCTTGTCTGTTGATGCATAGTATGTGTATGTGTGGCTTAAAATGGCCGCCGTGATCGGTTTGGTGAGTATATTTTTAGCCGTTTTGTTTGCTTTTGCAAGAAAAGTTTTGATTTGTTCCTCCAATCGTGTCTCAATTTTTAGTTGTCGGTGAGCTGAGTGATTATGTTGTTGGAAAACTGAGCCCAGTCCAGGACTATGAGCTGTGTTACGACCATAGACAGCAGTCACGATGTCAGAGCTTGAGCTCATGTAGATTGTAGGTCTAGACATAAAATGACATCTTATGTCATGTCGGACCATGTCAATATTATGAAACGTAACTTAATTGTGACCAATCATGTATGGACCGTACCTATCAGCGGAGACCATGGACCATGTCAATGTAAGGACCACGGCCGGGGGACCGTGCCGTGGATCCTGCGGCGCCTGTCGCGGCGATCCGCTGCAGACTGACACTGTGCGGCGTGCGCCCAGAACGCTCCGACTTGTGCCGGTACGTGTGCTCGTTTGTGCGTCTTTGTCTGCTGCCCGGCTGGCGAATGGCGATTTCTGTGTTGGTCTGTGAGACGGCTACGGATGCCGCCTACAGTGGCGACATCTGTCTTCAGATGCGATACTGCAGCAGTGACATCTGTGGGACAATGCGAGAGATACCTACAGAGGGCATGGCGGAGAACCTGTTTTGTCTGTGAAAACCGCGCCTATGGGTGTGCGCTGTACAGTGATTATTATATCTCTTCTCCAATGTTTGTTGCTCTAGTTAGTTGTTTCGTGTGCTGATCAGTATGCGTCAGCAGTGGATGGATTCACTATAATGTCAACTTCCTGTGTCGTTTGTCTTTCATTGTTATTCGATAGTGAGCGACATTCCAGCACGCCAAGGGTGACGCCGCCTCATAGCAGTAAAATTAGTGCAAGCAGTTTTCGCAATACAAGAGAGTGAAAAAGGCTGCTTTGCCTTCGTGCTTGAGCGGGAAGCGGGTTATAAAGTGGTAAATGACAAAAAAAAAACGAGGGATGAACGACGTGTTTCATACCGCATACCTACGGATGTTTGGAAAAGGGGATTGACGTGCATTAGGAACATCTACCTTGCGAATTGCAATGGCCTATCGGTAGGCGTAGCTCACGAAATTACGAAACGTGCATGACTTCATCGAGGCCAAGCATAATAAGCAGCCTAGAATTTGATTTTGGCTCGCGTCTACCAACGTTTTAAAAATGAGCAAGTTACGATTGTTTGTCTGTTACTCTTCAGTTTCGTATCGGTATCTAGTGAACAAGTGTAGAGTGACATTAAAATGACCATCCCATTTAACATTAGATTTGAGTTGAGGTAGCCAACTTGAGGTCCCTGGCTCACAATCACCGGTTTCGACACTCGCAACGTCGAGAAAATGCCTTAAATCAAACATTTTAATTTCGAAGCTGCAGCACTTGGATTCTGAGGGCCATTTGAATGACCCCGTCTGATTTAGATGTCAACGCAGACTAACGATTTTTAAATATAATACTAAAACCTTGTTAAAGGGACTATCCCACCTTTAACATGGGGTTTGAGTTGAGATAGCCAAGTTTGCGGCGAGGTTCAGAAACCACTATCTATCTAGGTTGCAACCCCCGCGGCCTCTTGGTGCTGAAGAAATTCGTTCCCTTCATTTGAAAATGGGCCTTGTACAAGGCCCTATCTTCAGCATGGAGCGACCGTTAGTGTGACGTCACCTCGTTTAGTCATTCTGATTTAAATGGGTTTGTTCGTTGAAAAATCGCTTAAAACTTGGTCTGAACTTTGTTGTGGTGCCTACAGAGTAAAAAGAGTCAGCTTTATGACAGTAATATGGCCTGGGGAAGGAGGCAAATTTGGGCTGTGACGTCACATATTTGAAAGTTTGTGTTTGGAATATGGGAAGCCTAAGATGTTAAATGAAAAATAAATGCCAGAACCGTGTTCCTGATCATCCAATCTATAAAGTCGGGCACAATTTAACTGGTTTTAACAACATTTTAGAAGGTGGGATAGTCCCTTTAACCCGCGCCCCGCTGGGCTATTCAGCCATACGCGCCCTGCTGGGGGGGCAGATTCTGCCCCCCCTGTCTAACTTCCGAACCGATGGTCGTAGAAAGACGGGGAAAACGGCAATCGAAAGCTCTCAACAAGGCGGATCTTAAGAGCCCAAATTTTTTTACTTAAGTAGGTCAGAGGTCAGGTCAAGGTCAGGTCAAGGGTACAAAATGCAAGTTTCTACAGTATTGGCCTTGCACCGTAGTTGCCGAAGAATGGACTGAGACTGATTGCCCAAAACGTGTTCTTAGACTACCAAGACAATATTCGTTGCACACAATGTCATTCAAAGGTCAAGGTCAAGGTCAGGTCAGGTCAGGTCAGGTCACCAAAAACAAAATATAGAAAAGGGCATGTGCGACACATGTTTTATGGGTCATTTTACTCATGGAATTCAATAGGCACACTCAATAAGTGATATGGACCACCTCTGGATGAAGTTCAGGTCGAGGTCAGGTCAAGGTCAGGTCAAGTGAGGTCAAATTTTGAAGTTGGTTGTTAAGGCCTAAAAAGGTGTCTATCCGATGCAGTTTTTCACGGCGAATCGAATGGTGCTATTCTTATTTCCGTACGAGGTCTAGAACTTCCAAAAAAATCATTTTTCAAAATTTTTGTGTGTCGTGACGTCATAAAATTTTGAATAACTCCCACATTTTTGAACCGATTCTTCTAAAAATTGGTATGTAGGTGCACATAGACCACTTCTTTGACATATATTCCGGTTTTTTCGATAAACTCAAAATTTTTGATTTTATAAATATTTTCCCAAAAAAGTCAGTTTTTTGGAAAAATTTTGGCCAAAATCCAAAATTTTCAAAAAACCGAGATAGCCATTTGATAGACAAAGTAGAATCACGTATAACCTTTTTTGTTATGTCTTAATTCCTTTAAAAATGAAGATGTTACCGGCGTTTGAAATTTTGCCGTTTTTTAGGCGAAAATGGCGAACATTGACACAATCGGTACGACGTCTCGATTCATACTGTATTGGCCGCCAACAGGTCACAGGGTAGTTGCCACGGTCACGTACAGATGGTGCACTGTATCCCACCAGGTGGCGCCCCACCTGGTTACACAATACTATCACACTCCCCTCCTTATTTTCTCGACACGGTAAGTCTTTCGCCAGGGTTCCACGACTAGCAGCTCCGGCGGCTCGCGATGCCGGCGAGGACGACCGTCCGGTTCTCCAGCGGCCTCGCCGTCACTGGAGGAGCTGCGGCTCGCGCTGTCGTCCGACTCCGCGCCGTCGTCGTCGACGTAGACTACCGGTCGGTACGCCTCGGCTTCCTCAGGTTCAGCTGCGGAACGCACCAGGTCATTGAAATGCCTAACTTTCTCGACTCTCGCCTTGGTGCTATCTTGCACTTTAAGAAGACGGTAAGACCAACCACCGCCCAACACTTCAATGACCCTGTACAATGATGACAAAGCAGGCGACATTTTTCCCCCTTTCCTTCCCCTCTCTGCCGGCGTCAACCGCAGCCGAACATAGTCTCCAACCTCAAATGGCTGACCCCTGGCCCTCGCGACACTCTCCTCCACCCGCTTCAGTTGCGCCCGTTCGACACCTACTTGAGCATCTCGCTGCAGTTGGTCGAGCAGCTGTCGCCTCTGCGTTACCTCCTCCGCCGGAGTGTGGCCAGACGTGACCGGCTCAGTCTCGGAGGCGGCAGGTGGGTCGCTGATGCAGGTCTCGGGACGTCGCGCCGACCGTGCGAAGAGCAGCTCGAACGGAGAGAAGCCTGTGGAAGCATTGACGGCGGTGTTATGACTGAACTGCAACTGAGGAAGCTTGGATGGCCACAGACGCACATCATTGGAACACATGCAGCGCAGATTCCTGACGAGCTGATTCTGACGCTCCACTTGGCCCTGCCCCTGTGGGTGGAGAGGCGTCCCCAGTGTGTGCCGAATTCCCAGCCGCCGACATAGAGAACGGAAGGTCTCAGCCGTAAAGTGCGGTCCTCTGTCTGAAGATATTTCATATGGGACGTCAAAAATGCATATCCAATGGTCAAACAGCAAACGGGCAGCCGTCTCAGCCGTACAGTCCTCAGCTGGCAGCAGCATCAGGTAACGGCTGAGGATGTCCTGGATCTGAAAGACATAGCGGTACGGGTGTGCTGCGGTCTTGGGGAACGGGCCTGCGAAATCGACTTGAAGTTTCGCCAGTGTTCTGCTCGGGAAGGTGGTGCGCTGTATGGGCGCACGACCAGGTGTTTGCGGCGGCTTATTCTGTCCACACATTTCACAGCCATTCACATAATTGGACAAGTCCTGTCTCATGTTAGGCCACCAGAATGAATTACGGGCACGTTTCCAAGTCCGATCCCGCCCCATATGTCCACTCAGAGGCGCATCATGCACAAGGCGCAACGCTTCAGCCCTCATAGCTCTGGGGATAACTGGCAGCTGGGTGCGCCCACCGTTAAACAGATAGCGCAGCAGGCCGTCATTGCCAATGACCAAATGACGCCTAAAACGGTAAAGCGTACGGGCGGCCTCAGGTGACTTACTTGACAGGTCTTGTTCGCTGAGCAGGGCTGCGCGTACCGGTGAGATCTGCGGGTCCATCCGCTGCTCGTCCCGGAGCTGCTCGATGGTGAAGACGGTGGTCGACAGATCCGGCTCCAGCTGTCGAGTGCCTGCTGTCACACAAGCCACGAGGTCACCGTTGGGGCCCACTCTGGATAGGTAGTCGGCGATAGTCATATCGGGGTGCTTGCCAGCCTTGTGAACCGGGGTGATTTGAAACTGCTGCAAGAAATCGATCCACCGTCCACGCCGGCCCCGTTCGTCGCCAGCGTCGAGCGAGTTCAACCAGCGAAGAGCACGATGGTCCGTGATGAGCGAAAACGGACCATTCGATAAATATATCCGGAACCGTTTCACAGCGAGCACTACCGCCAAAAGCTCCTTCTCCGTCGTGCTATATCGTCTCTCGTGTTCGGAAAGCGCGTGATGAAAAAATCCCAGTGGCTTC